TCTCTCTCTCTCTCTCTCTCTCTCAGTCCGGTACTAACCTGTGAAGGTGGCGCCTGGTTGCAGGTACATCGAAGACGAAGCTGGAGCTATGGCGCCACAGGTAAGTCTCCCTGGCCTCCGCCAACCATCTCTCTCCCCCCAACGCTACTCTAGCTCCTAATAGCGCTCAGCACTGAAGGCTACTCCTAACGCTACTACTACTACTACTGCAGCGCTCCTCCAGAGTGCTGCTGCCGAATCCTGAAGACTGCCTCCTGCCTCCTGCACGTGAAGTGCCCGTGAACTGCCTGGGAAGTCCCTATGCACTACCGGCAGCCTGCAGGGTGGGTCACTTCTATATAGTGCTGGCCCGTCTGGGAGGCTGCTCTTGCCAATGCCGAAACGTGCGAGACCCTGGCGTTGAAGTTCAAATAAAGGCTGTCTTGAAACAGGCCCAAAAATGGCCTGTGCTAAACCCTGGTCTGGCGCCTGAGTTTCAGGGCAGGTCGACTTTATGAGGGCCTGAAAATGGCCCTCGTTTTCAGGCGTTTAGGCTGAAACGACACAGGGCCTGTAGGGCCCTTATTTTCTGTCTGGTCGGGCCCTGCAGGCCCACGTGGCTGCGCAGTATGCCCCTCCTTCAAAGACCGAGCTTACCTGCGAGGGCGAAGCTGCCTGTCTGAGGGAGGGACCAAAGTCGGGGCGGGAGGGGCAGGTCGCGAAGCTTCCTTAGCTAACCTTTGTCGTTCGTAGTGCGCGTAGATCAGCGGTGCGGATGCTTTCAGATCTGCTCCTGAAATCCATCGAGTGTCGTCAGGATCGCATGCTTTGAAGGTAACTTTGTACTGTCAAGGCTTTGCTGCCGTACTTGCGATCCATGATGACACGGTAGACTTCCTGATGACCATCCATAGACGGAGGGTCTTGCGATCGTCGGCCCGGGAAGTCGTCGCTCTTAGCCGGTGTATATGTCGCCAGCTTCGAGGCGTGAAAGACCGGATGGACCAGCAGATGCGGAGGGATGTCGATCACAAAGGATGGGCCGTCGGGCTCATTGCCTGCGGCTGAACAAACGGTCCATTGTCCTCGGATGGTTCCAAATGCCAGAACTTGAACTTGTTGATGTTGGTGGCTTCATGCCGCTGCAGCAGATCCTGGGCCTCCTTGCGGCGGGCCTGGGAGTCTGCGTCACCTGCGGCCTGAAGCCGCTGTTTGTTGGCTTCTGCCTCTGCTTCAGCCTGTAGGCGGGCAGCCTCAGCTGCGGCCTGGCGCTGTACCTCAGCCTCGATCAGTGCGAGCTGTGTTAGAACCCGCTGTCGGTACTCGTCAATGGACTCGTTGGCCAATTGGCCTGGCATGCCCAAAGCCGAAATCGTCATGGTGACGGGGCACTACTGACGTGGCACTGCTGCTGACGTGGCACTGCTGACATGGCACTGTTGCTGATGTGGCACTGCTGCTGACATGGCACTGCTGACGTGGCATTGCTGCGGTCGTCGCACTGCTGACGTGGCACTTACCAAACCGGGAATGCAGACAAAGGGCTGGGTGGGAGGGAAACACAGAAAGGTAACAAAACACTTTCCATTCCCGGTCCTAAAAATAAAAATATAAAAGAAGAGGATCACCCCCCTCCTTTTTTTCTTTATTTTTTTGCATATCTGTCGATCTGCTATCAGTGAGGCATTACAGAGGAGTACTATGAGCGAGATCTAGGCAAGGTTTCAAAAAGTTTCGGCTTTCAAAAAAATGCGATCTTGGAAAAAAAATAAAATTGTGCGAAATAGACTGGAGGCTCCACGTTCAGAGAAGAGTAGATCCAGTCCGAGAATATGACAACCTCTTCGCTTCACCTAATATGCCCAGAGTGAAACAGAAAACGAAATGCTAATATCCAAAGTTGTGAGAAAGAAAAAACGAAATTGCAAAGATTTGACGAAGCCCTACTTGATTCACTAATAATCAATCAATCAATCAATCAATCAATCAATCAATCAATCTGTGATAACCCGACCAAACATGGACTGAAACACACAGCTGATTTCTGAGTTTTGCTCATAGACTGAATGCCTTGCTGAGTTTCCCTCTTGCTACT